GCCACAAATTATATCTTTATACATTGTATGCCCACTAACCTAAATTTATAATTACTGCTTTATGTAATTGTCTTTTAAATTATATAGGAAAAAAAGAATTAAGAAAATACCTTAATACTGTCTTTTATAATTACTTAACACAATTACTTTACCCATGTTGAGACATGGCTAGTGTCCTTTCATTTAAGCTTGAAGGATTTCCTTTACCATTACTTACTGAGCAGATCTCACTTCTTTCAGAGTCATTCTTATTCTCCATTTTCTCTACTTTATCCATATGTGTTCTAGAATAGTTTCTAAAACTCTTTGAAGGGAGGGATGGCACCTGTGGCTCAAAGGAGTAGGGTGCTGGCCCCATATAGCAAAGGTGGTGGGTTCAAAACCAGCCCTGGCCAAAAAAACCCTGCAAAATTTTTGAAGAGAGAAATAGACTCCTATAACCGGTCTATTTGCCAGATTTGGTAGCATTAGGGAGACTGTTCAGATGTTGATGACTTTTAGTATGATTCAAGAGATTGAAAGCTGGGTTAAAATCCTTTCCTCCAGCTAGGTGCAGTGGCTCACACCTGTAATGCAGTTTTTTGTGAGACTTCTTCTGGATTAAAGAGTCAGTCAACATCTGTAATCTTAGCACTTTGGGAAGCCAATGTGGGAGGATGGCTTGAAGCCAGGAGTTCGAGACTAGCCTGGGAAACAGCAAGACCCCTATCTCTACCCCTTATCTCTTTTTTTCCTACCAAAAGAAAAAAAAATAGTCAGGTGTCCAGCTGCTACCCTCTGGCTGGCTGTGCAGAAAAATAATATCCCAGTGTTTCTCAGCATCTTCTGTCTCTGAGATTAGGCCTCTTCTCCAGGAGGTGAGACTTTCAAGTGTGGGTCTGCCTAAGAGCTCTAAGAAGACATATAATTTCTACTGAGAAACCTCTGACTCTATCATCCTGGGCATCCTCTCTCAATCTCATGGGATTTTTATGAGGCTTAAATGAAAAAAAATTGATGTATTTTCTCAAAGTGCTTTTATAGTAATGGCACATAAGGTGTTAACATATTGCATCAAGCCTCTATCAGCCTAACAGCCCTTCTAAAAGCAATAAATAGACAATCACTGAGAAGAAGTTTTCTTTGTGTGTGTGTGCACGTTTTTAAAATTATTTTTTATTAAATCATAACTTTGTACATTGATGCATTTATGGGGTTCAGGGTACTGCTTCAGTATACAATGTGAAATGCTTACACTGAACAAATCCATCACAATCATACTCATTTCTTAATAGTTTTGAAATGTACCATTGCATCATGTACATTAGGGGAGGTCCCCCCAAATGCCCTCCCTCCTTCCATATCCCTCCTCCCCTTCCCTCTCTCTCCTCTTAAGTAGTTTTCCTTTGCTACTTACTACCTAGCAGAGAACAGGGTCCTCTGCCCACCTCAATGACTGTCACTTAAACCAGATATTAAATAGAATAATTCTCACTGGCAAACAGCAGCCCTTCTGGAATCCATGAAGAGTGTTGAGGGAACGTGATGGAGATGAAGAACTAGCTGCCAAGAATAGGAAAAGATCACTGGATAGACCCTTGCCTTTACTTTGATCTGTGACAGATTACTCTTAAAAAAAATCTGAGTTGTTTCTCTATCTCCTTTTCTTTGTCCTTCATATTTCTACAGGTGTGATGGTTTCTAGTTTTTAATAGCCATTAACTAGACACTTCATCCCTCACCAGCTCTGTCCTTGTGACTATAGTTTCTACATGCCTCTCTACCTGTCAGGAAGAGAACCCTAGTCTGGAAGACTCGATCTTCCCAAAGCCATGGCAGTGGATGGAAACAAGCCACACATGAGTCCAGCATGGTTGGGCAGAGGGCCTGGATTTTTGGACAGTTGGCTCTGAGCAGTGGCTTAGGCTATTGCCCTACCATAGGAAGACCTCTAAGCATGCAGGTAGTTAAGGTTTTTGCCCTCAGAAGGCTACAAATCACTGGAATCAGTGGCATTGAAAGTAAGAGAGGAAACGCAGAAACTGCTCATTCGTGCAGTAGGAGAATGGGCAGGCAGGGCTGCACTCAGACTCTGGAGCCCTGTGAAGTCGGTTGATCAGGAACTCAGCATAGAACCAGTCTGCAGAAAGTGGAGAAGCTGACAGTGGTGCAGAAGATACGCTGCCTCCGTTCCCACCTGAGTATGACGCTGCTTGTTTATACAACACTGGAGGTTTTCACCCAGGTCCATCCACATTTTCTAGCCCAAATACCCTTGAAAAGTTGTACATAGGCTTGGTGCCCGTAGCACAGTGGTTATGGTGCCAGTCACATACACCGAGGGTGATGGGTTTGAACCCGGCCTGGGCCAGCTAAACAACTACAACAAAAAAACAGCCTGGCACTGTGGCAGGTGCCTGTAATCCCAGCTTCTTGGGAGGCTGAGGCAAGAGAATTGCTTAAGCCCAAGAGTTGGAAGTTGCTGTGAGCTGTGACGCCACAGCACTCTACCCAGGGCAACATAGTGAGACTCTGTCTCAAAAAGAAAAGAAAAGAAAAGTTGCGTATAGATATCAGACACCTTTGCATACCACGTCCAATCCCCAATCCTCTCAGTCCAACCACTCACTCCAGCCACTGTTGCAGTGACCCAGTTCATGCAGGCTCTGGACTGCAATATATTATTGTTTTCTATCCATGAGATTGAATCTGTTTGGGACTCATGCATTTGCAACCTGAAAACGTGGGGAGGTGATGCCTGTGGGGTTGCCTTTGATGAATGGGTACCAAAAGAGAAATGCTTCCCCCTTCAATCCATGGGGCAGAGGTTTTGAGCCATATTTCATTAGGCCTCCTCAGAAGTTCTTGCTGGATGCGGCATTCTTGCCCTTGCTATTGGCCAACCTGATGACACATCTTAGTATTTGGTCTCCTTCCTTCCCTATTCTTCTCCCCAGAATCTCATTCTCAAATAAACTACTTAATTAACTGCAAGATGTACGGCTTTAGGCTCTTCTTTCAGGGTAACCAAGGCTGAGACACTGTGCAAGAAGGTAGCTCAGTCTATAATCAATCAATAAAGTGAAGATTTCTAGTACACAGGAATTAAATCTTAGCCTGAGAGATGAATTCCAACCATTGCCAGAATTAGTTTAAGCTGACAGAAATGTGATGATGATGTGGTACAAGGTCACTGACTTCTGGAAAAAAAGACTGCAGGCAGTTGCTATTATTTAAAAATCATTTTACTTATTAAAACTTTCTCATTTTCCAAGGCACTTCAGTAGCATTCACAAAAATATGATTTGTTTGTTTTTTAACCAAGTGAAGCATATGCTTTAGTGGTACCATGGTAACATAATTGGCAAGGAGAAGACAACTACACTGAACACAAAATATCTCCCAATAATGTTACACGGCTGAAGTGAGCACTTTGAAAGACTGTGAACATAATTTCAATGTTTTTTATAATTTTTCCCCATGATTAGGTACCATAAACAATGACTTTGGGTTTGGCATTCAGAGAAGTGCTAGAGGATAAATCTGGAAAGGCCTTGCACCAGTGGCAACTGCTGACCATTATCAGAGTGATTCTGGGTATAAAAAAAAAGACACAGGTCAGGTGCAGTGGCTCATGACTACAATCCCAGGACCTTGGGAAGCCAAGGAAGGACTGCTTGAGGCTAGGAGTTCAAGACTAGCCTGGGAAAACACAGTAAGACCTTATCTCCATAAAAAACAACAACAACAAAATTAACCAGAGGCCAGGCATGGTGGCTCATGCCTGTAATCCTAGCACTTTAGAAGGCTGAGATGGGCAGATCACCTGAGCTCATGAGTTCGAGCCCAGCCTGAGCTAGAGCAAGACCCTATCTCTAAAAAACACCAGGAATTATGGCAGGTACCTGTAGTCCCAGCTACTCAGGAGGCTGAGGCAGGACAATCGCCTGAGCCCAAGAGTTAGAGGTTGCTGTGAGCTATGATGCCAGAGCCCAGAGCACTCTATAGGGGATGACAAAATGAGACTCTGTCTCACAAAAAAAAAAAAAAAAAAACAAATTAGCCAGGTATGATGACATACACCTGTAGTCCCAGTTGTTAAACCTAGGAGGCTGAGGCAAGAGGACTGCTTGTGCCCAGGAGTTTGAGGCTGCAGTGAGCTATGATCATGCCACCACTGTACTCAGCCTGAGCAACAGAGTGAAATCTCATCTCTCAAAAAAGAAAAATAAAATAGAAAAAGAAACCGGGAGACTAAGGAACCAGCCTTCCCCAAGTCTATTCTGAAGGGCAAATAACTTAAGGAGAAAAAGACACAACAACAAATACAACAACAAAACAAAACCCACATCACACTTTAGAGAGACTTGAGACAAAGTTGTCTGTCTCTTTTACACTGATCTGCTTCCTTCAAATCACATACAAGCTATAGAAGTGAGGAGGTTTGATTTACACAACTATGGAAAACAAGAATAGTAGATTCAATGAAGCATTTTTTATGGGCCTGGACAAGCCCAGTGCTTTGATCAGATGTAAACAAATCTACCCAGCAGTCAGTCTGAGTGGCCAAGAGCTCACATATCAATGCACTTGCCCATGTTCTGTATCTGCCCACTCTCCTCCTTAATTACCTTCAGTTCTCCCTAGACCAGTGGTTCTCAACTCTCCTAATGTCACGACCCTTTAATACAGTTCCTCATGTTGTGGTGATCCCCAACCATAAAATTATTTTCGTTGCTACTTCATAACTGTAATTTTGCTACTGTTATGAATCATAATGTAAATATCTGATATGCAGGATATATTTAGGCGACCCCTGTGAAAGGGTCTTCTACCCCTAAAGGGGTTGCAACACACAGGTTGAGAAACGCTGTCCTAGACCCTGTGTTCTCCTGCCCTGGGAAGTGACAGTCCCAGATAATCTGAGAAAAGGTGAGGGTGGCGCCTGTGGCTCAAAGGAGTAGGGCGCTGGCCCCGTATACCAGAGGTGGCAGGTTTAAACCTGGCCTTGACCAAAAACTGCAAAAAAAAAAGGTGAGAAATCAAACTCCCTGTGAAACAATTTCTTTTCCTCTAAAGGCCACCATTAGAAAGAAGGAGATAGAGGAACTTAGACCTCTAGAATTATTAGAAGCCTTTTCAAGTAGTCTAAAATTAAAATGTAGATTTAACAGATTCTTCTTATGTTCTTCCAAATCCCATTGGTTCTGGTGAATAATGAACTTCTCAGTCCATCATCATAAGTTAGGACTTATCTAAAGGTGTTAGTAGGTAGCCACGGGGTCTTCAGAGGAGTGGTACTCTAGGACTCCACATACCTCTGAGTCTGGGTGCCCATCCATGAGCAAGTCAGACACAGGTGAAGAGAATAAACAGCAAAGGTCTTTGTCACTGAAGGACTCGGAGTCTGCACAAGCTGTTTCTGACAAGACACAGTCTATCCTCTTAAGTTTCTCACTTACTGGAAGCTGTGTTAGAAGGCTGTGCTTTTAAGGATTGTGGGGCTTTCTTCACCATCTCTTAACATCTTTGTATGACTTGCAGTCTGCCTGTATTTTATCCTACAAAAATAGGCAAAACAAATATTAGTAACAAATTTTAAAAAGATGCCTGCCAGTCTTAAAACAAACAAGAACTAAGGGAAAACACTGGGGAAAATAATCATACAGCAAATTTTGAAATGTTTCTCCTGGCCCCTGTACCATCCAGAGCTGCTGCTGTCATGGGGATATGCAGGGTGGCATGTCCACACAGGAACAGACTTCAGAGGTCAGGCTGGAAGCACCTTGCTACTTATACTTATAACCCTTTGATGGCTAACCTAGTCCATGGAACTTGTAAGAGTTTGTTGGAGCCTCTACCATAGGGATCCTAAGATCTAGCCAGGCCCAGACCCAGTGTATCACCTGTCTTACCCTTTGACCCTTAGCATCTGGTCAATGGTGTCTGGAAGTGGGGTGCCAAAGCTCTCTGGGAGGAACAAAGTGAGGATGGCTGTCAGGATGGTCAGACTTCCCATGAGGATGTAGGGCAGGAAGCGGTCATAGGCACCTATGGCAAAGCAGACAGAGCCCAAACCCAGGGGTGCAGTTAGCCTGGGTCTCTCTCCAGCCGCTCTTCATGCTCCCAGAACTCTATTAAGAGGATCACTTTCCTCCTTAGTCTCAGCATCTCCCACTGTCTGAGATTCCAGATTGGAATCTGGTACCAGGACGGGTTTCAGAACCCAGAGCAGGCAGAGGCATGACCAGAGGTCCCCAGAAGTTGAGCAGTACCCCAAGACACAGGGCCAGGGGTGTGTGTGTGGGGAAGAGTGGATGGAGCTGAGCCATGATGATTATTCCTATTTCTCAAGGTTGGGTTTCCAAGGAACTTGAAGTACTTGTCTAGGGACAAGAATAACTCTCCCACCTCTGCAGATGTGTCCCAACCCGTTTGATTTGCCTTCAGGCTACACAAGCTGTTTCTGCTTGTTACAGCTATTTGGTATGTTCAGAAAGCACTCTGGGTACTCTCAGGGTGCCACCCATCCTCCCCAAAGATGTGCTACCTAGGGATGTGGGGGGAAATAGTGGTGCCATGAAGGTATACTGTTGAGAAGAGAAAACTGGGGCCCTGACACATTAAATGACACAAAGCAGATCCTTATGCAATGTAAACCATTGCAGGTGCTCCAAGTTAGAATATCCTCAGTTCATCAGACCACTTGAATGGACCTCTTTCCCCTCCTGTTCTTTTAAATGCTGATTCTAAGAAGAAATTCCTCCAACGAAGTACAGGCTCCCTAAGCTACTCTGTGGTTTCCCAGGATAAAAGAATTGTAGCCTCTGGTGTAGGGCGGAGAATGGCTGAAACAGAAACAAAACCTTCTAATTCTCTCATCAATTTCTAGCCAGTCTATAGGTTTTTGTTTTCTTTCTTTCTTTTTTTTTTTTATTGAGACAGAGTCTCAGTATGTTGCCCTCAGTAGAGTGCCATGGTGTCACAACTCATAGCAACCTCAAACTCTTGGGCTTAAGTGATTCTCTTGCCTCAGTCTCCCAAGTAGCTGGGACTACAGGACTACAGCCACAACACCCGGCTATTTTCCTTGTTTTTGCTGTTGTAGTTGTCATTGTCATTTGGCAGGCCCAGGCCAGGTTCAAACCTGCCAGCCCCTGTGTATGGGGCCAGTGCCCTAGCCGCTGAGCTACGGGTGCTGAGCCAGTCTCTATGTTTTTCACTGGAAAGTGATAGCCTCCCTGACAGGACGCTCAGAGAACCCTCCTCAGCCACAGACCTAATATTGGAGGGAGCCCATTTGCTGTATCTGCTTGTTTTCTTGTTAACAAGCTATCTGTGCTGGCAGTAAGCTGATTGGCACGTCTACCCCAGCACTCCAACGTGCCCTTGCCCATGGGACTTACCAAGGTAAACAAAGTAGGGAGACAGGATGCTGCCCAGGCGGGACGCTGTGGAGCTGACTCCCACACCCATGTTTCTGACCACTGTGGGGTACAGCTCAGCTGTGTACACATAGACCATGGAAAAGGCAGCAGTGATTCCAAACTTGCCCACCATCACCAGGACTGTAGCCAAATAGTACAAGTCTGGAGAGGCAAAGGGAAGAAGACAAGAGTAGGCACCAACCCCAGGCACACTGCTATGCAGTGTTTCATCGTATTTTTGCCTGATATAAATATACTTTCTTCTCCAATATTTTTTGGGGGTGGGTTAGTTTCTATAACTTCCTATTATGGGAAAAAGGACTATAGCCAAGGCTTCCCTCCAAGTTGATTACTGAAAGGAGGCTGGGACTGGAGCTGTGTTACATGCATTTTCCTGAGCCTAGAGACCACCAGAGTGAGCGCCTCAATAGCCCAGTCAACCTGCTTTCCAGTCCAGAAGTTGCAAAAGACATGTGTGGGGAGACAGCTGCCACCCCAGAATCTCATACTGCCAGCACTGTGGAATTAACTGATGATTTTTACATCAATGGAGAATCTAGTTCTAACTCATTTAGAACAAAAAAAATTCATACCATCACTAGGATGATCCTCTCATCTGTCCTCACTGTGCCAAAGAGAGAAACCGGGTCGGGTCACTCTGAGCTCAGTGTGAACCTCTACATCATTTCTGGCTTCTTCCACCGGACACCACTAGGGGTTGTCCCTGTGCAGTGTTACCAGCCTGACAGGTAACACCTGTGACCACGGACGCTCCGAAAGCCACGAGTACACTGAGAACTCTGGGCACAGTGCCAGACAGATGAGGGCCTGCCAGATGTTCTATGGCTACCTTCTATTCACTGTGGGATACAAGACAGTTTTAGAGATTAAAATCCTGCTCAGGGCCTATGAGGCCCTCTCTGTGACCTGGGTCTTGACCCTCTCTTAACTAGCTCCCTTTTTCTCCTCAAACATGCCAGGCTTATTTCCTGCTCAGGGTCATTGCCTTCGCTGCTTCTTCCTGAAATGTTCTCCTAGACTTTTCTATGGTTTTCTCTGTCACTTCATGTATGTTTCTGCTAAACTGCCCCTATTCAGGGATACTGTCTGTGACTGCTTTATAAAACCAGCTTCCCATGCCCTATTTTTATTCATAAAAGGTAGCACAATCTGAACTGTATCAAGCATTGCATTTACTTGTTTGTCTTCTCTACAAGGGTGTGAGCTCCATGAGGGCCTGGAGTTTTGCCTGACTTATTTCCTTCCATATTGCTAGCACCAAGCATAGTGCCTATAGCAGGCACTCCATGGATAGGTGTTGAATAAGACAGGGCCAGGAAAAAAAAATGGGCATGGCTCTTTCTTCCCCCTTATTCTGGAGTGGAAAACAAATAAATATGAACACATTACCTTGGGTATACAGTAAAATTAACCAATAGCCCCAATGTTGGTTTTTCTCACTCCCCCAAAGCCCAGGTCATAAGAGTGTTCTGGTCTCAGAAGGCACTTTCTTTTGATTTTTAGGCCAAGAATACATATGCAAGGTCTGATAATTAAGTTCGAGAACTTGGCACCATGTGCTTACATTACCGGCATGGTACAAACAACTCAGTAAAGTTTCATAACCTTTGTATACTAGTGTCTCACAGTTGTGTTCATGTCAATGTGTGGTGGTGTCTCACTGAGTGGCATTCATTATTGTTGTGTGTTTTTGTGTGCCACCATGAGAATCCCAGAGCTTAAATTAACAAACAAAGATTTATTGAAGAGAGGTCAGGGAAGCCAATAGTGAGCAGAACTGACAAAAACATTGCAAAAATTGATGAAATTGTGCATCAATCATTAGCTGACTTGCTGAGGCAAGAGGATCACATAAGCCCAAAAGTTTGAGGTTGCTGTTAGCTATGACCCCATAGAACTTTACTGAGGGCAAAAAAGTAAGACTCTATCTCAAAAAAAAAAAAAAAATTATCAGCTGAGTATTAGAAATATAGCAGACCAAGTAAACATCAACAGAGAAACAAGAAAATCTTTTTT